TAGTCTTCGGTACCAAATAGCATGAGCTCTTTCCAGCATTTCACGGTATGTGGTGAAGCGATGGGACATAAGTATTATGCTTATATCCGAGTTCAGCCCTTGTTTAAACCTTCATAGCTTTCTATCTTCCGTATCCACCAGATGTGGAGCATACCTTGAAAGTTGATCAAACTTCCTCTCATACTCAGTCAGGGACATAGTCCTTTGCTTGAGTTGGAGGAATTCACTTTCTTTGTGATCCCTCAAGGACTGGGGAAAGTACTTGTCCATTACTTCCCCTTTGAATTGCTCCTAAGTCAATTCCTCTTGTTGCTCAGGGGTCTTTGTCCTTGACATTGAGTCCCACTAGTGACTTGCATCACCGGAGAACATGAACTCAGCACACTGGACTTTCTGAGCGTCCGTGCACCCTATCAATCGGAATATACGCTCCAACTTGCAAAACCACTCCTCGACTGCAAGTGGATCAGCTGCTCCGTTGAAGGTAGGGGGCTTGTGCCTTTGAAATTGCTCAATCACTGAAGCATGGTTTGGAACATTAGGAGCTAGTGGTAGGGGTTGAGCTTGGTTCGGGTTTTGCCTGCCTAGGTCTTTAACCGCTCGGAGGAGGTCTCTTATCAAGTTTTGGTTTGCACGGGCCATTTCCTTTAGACAAAACATATGGTTCTTATTAGTTTCATTCCTCGAATACTAAAGCAAAGAAGATAGTATTTTATCTCTTGACATAAGGAAAGCTATTGCAAAAATTTAAATCTAATCCCTATAAGTTCTAGGATCTTCTTTGGTAGAGCTTCATCTTCGGAGGAGTCTTCCGCCTCAGGTCCGGACTCTATGTCCATCTCAACCTGTGGCTCAGGCTCAGGATCATTCTCTAAATCATCCTTGGGTTCTTCTTCGGGATCTTCTTCCTCAGTCAAAGGTTCCTCCTTAGGCTCCTTATGGATTACATCATCCCACAAATCAATCAGGGCATGGCAATACCTCTCAAACTCGAACAGGTTTGGGTTGCCTTCTAACATTTCATCTCTAACCGTGACTCCCATATCTCCCTATTGAGGTGGGAGGGAGTGTATGATGTCATTTATGGCCTCAATATGCGTGATCTCCATTCCAGCATTAACCGCCATCATACATCTCTCATAGATGTCATACACATGTTCGCTAAGCGGTTGGGTCAGATCAGTTACATAGTTTTCATAGAAATGAATAGCAATTCTACGGTTCAATGCTTCTCTATATGCCCTATCCGTTCTATGAGCCATATCTGTTGCATTTTCACATACATCATACTTTTTCTTTGCTTAGAGAAAACATACAAATATTTAAACTTTCATATCATGCAATTCCCTTTAAGCCCTTAGCTTTTGCCCAAGTCCATTACGTATCTTTAAATAACACATCTCTAAATCATATCAAAGTATCATAACATAAACATAATTATTAACTTTAAACATGAACATACCTGGACCATAGGATGGGATTGATGGATGGATGCACAATGCCATGGAATACCTTAAACTTTTCATTTTCCTTTTGTTTTTAAAAAAAAAAAACATACTTAGTCTACAAAATCGGCTAAACCTTGCTTTGATACCACGCTGTAACGCCCCGACCCCTAGTGGACCGGAACGTTACTTACTTTACTTAGCTTAACCGGTGGTTTAGTAACAAGTGTATACGTTTTAGCAGAAACTTACATCTTCGGATAATAATTTAAATAACAATACTTCAAATACTTTAAACAAAAATACTGAATCATTTTTCAAAACAACAAAATGTAATTTATTTGAAAAAAGCATAACTTGTTCTCGCATTCTGCATTATTCAAAACTTTAAAGAAATAACATTGGAAAACATTCCATAAAAATAAATCCAAATCACTTATTCACCGGATTTCCATGGGCTCGTTGCATCACTCTCCATCTTCTCTTCCATCCATGCCCGAGGTAGAATTTCTTCAATCTGTAGGGATAGGATTAAGCCTGTGAGTTGAAAAACTCAATAGGTGTCATAGGTGCATTCGTGATCAAGCTATACATTTCAAAACATTAACTTTATAACTTTTCATATATGCTGTACCCGGAGGCACCATTTGACATGAAGGGGTATGCCATACCCGAGGGCACCATTTGGCATATGAACATTTCTTCAACATAGAGGGGTATGTCGTACCGGAGTACCATTTGGTATACAAACATTAACATGAATCGAAACTTATAACTTAACACGATTAAACACATTGCACCTTTACCTACCTTGATTGATGCTTTTGAAACTTTGAAAACTTGGATTGAAAACTTCGGTGAAACTAGGACGTTGAAAGAAATGCACTCCTTGGATGTTTGAAAACCGTTGAGAATTGATACTTGAAAACACTTCTTAAACTTCTAGGAAAAATAGTTTTCCTCTCTCTCTTTTTCTCTTTTGAAAACTCTTTCTTTAGTATGTAAAAGCTCTTGCTTTTGGAGTGAGAAAAAAATAAGTGAAATGAGGTCTCTATTTATAGGTAAATATCCCATAACTTAAAGCAAATGAAGGGTCAAATTTCATTTAAGAGTGAAAACATGGGTGCCATTTAAGTTTGAGGTTAAATGCTTCAATTTAGTGGGATTTTTATTGCCAAAAACGTGGGTGGCCCTTTGAAAAAATAATTGATGAAAATAAATATTTAAATTCTAGAGAAAAACGAGAATTTTCATTTCAAGCAGTTTCGGTCGACCGGTTGTAGTCCGGTTGACACTGCATAGTTTTCAGTGTTTCTATCATAACTTCTTCTCTCGATATCCGATTGAGGTAATTGAAAGTGCGTTGGAAAGCTTTCTCAAAGAGCTACAACTTTTATTTAGATATCATTTTCCAAATTGAATGTTTCCTATGTCAAAAATGGGTCTCAAATGAAACTAAAAATCTGAAGTATACTTTAGTCATCCAATATTCATGTCTTAGTGCCACTAAGGTGTCTAGAATTATTTGGGGTTCTACACATAGAATCCCCTTTCCTAGGGTCATTTGTAAGTTCCTATCCTTATAGGGACAAGCTCCTACTCAGTTATACCCCAACGGGTGGTGAACGTTAGTTGCCACTCTTATCCTATGGCATAAATTATGGAGCCCCGAGTTAACCGTAGAGCAATTTAACTCCCCGCTATATATATATATATATATATATATATATGTATAATTTTTTTTCTCTCTCACCTTTCACTATCACATTTGCAGTTTATAAGAAGGCAGTCTTGACCCCTATAACTCAGAGAAGGGTTGAGGCATTTAGGGCTTGCCTAAGAGAGATAGGTCCCGCAAGTTCGTCATTTTCGTTTTGCAACTTATCTAGGCGAGGCTATTTCAGCTAGTGACTCCAACCTCATCAATAGTCGGAGCATCTTAGTGTATCTTTCTTTTTTCTAGCTTCTTACAATAAGGATTGATTTCTTATGGAACTCCATAACTGCAATCTTGATTTCAATAATAAATTTTTTTTATATTCATAGATTATGACTCAGACATGCTGGGCTATAAGGCACCAAAGGTGGCTATTACCAAAGTGAAGAAGAGGGTGGCAGCTCCAGTTGAGGATGTAATTTATTTAGCTGAGGTCGAGGTCGCCCCACTGATGCCAAATCATTCTGGGGGTCCTCCAGCCAAGACCCCCACTAAAGTCTTGTTTTCGAGGAGCTCGTCCCCGGTAAAGCTCCTGTAGAGGTTATCACCTGCATTATCTCCCTTCTCTACTACTATTGCTGCCAGCTTTTTGAGGTCATAAGAAACATGTCCAGATCGACAATGGCCTAATGCAGATGCTTAGCGGGCTCCCATCTTGATATTGTTCTTGACATTCTTCGGCACCATTCCCTTAAAGAAAAATTATTGTTGGCTGCTTCCTCCTCTTTGTAACTCAGGGAATCTCTTCTTTAGAAGCTAGAACGATAGGGAACAACATTTCCTAGATGAGATGTTAGTTGGTGAGTACATCAGCTTAGCCCCATGGTTACTGTTCATTCCTGTACATGTCATCTGTGGCAGATAAGGTGATTTCTTAAGCTTTAACTTGCATATTTTATAATATTTGGGCCTTTTTCGGGCGTGACTTTAGGTTTTATTTGTGTCGGATTAGGTGAAGGTAGAGTTTGATAAGGACGCTCGAAGCCAAAAACCAAGCCTTAAGCTTCTATGAGAGCATCGATGTAGAGAGGTAAGGTTATCTGAGAAGGAGAAAAAGTATGAGGACCGCCTTAATAAGATGGATGTCGAGTTGGATGCGAAGTTGGTCTCAGAGTCCTTGATGGATGATAATAAGGCGTTGCAAATATGGGGGAGAAAGTCAACCAACGACTATGATGGAGAAGAAGAAGACTGAGGATGAGGGCTGATGAGGTTGATAAGAGGGCAAATGAGGCAGTTAAGAGGGTAGAAGAGGCTTAGGCTAATGCAGCCAAGGCTGTAGACCTCTAGAGGGCCTCTCCTAAGTTTGATACTCTAGCCCAGGATGTGTATTTCGTAGCTCTGGAAGAGCTTAGAAGCACATAGATAGAGAGAGGCTCGATTTTGATGGTGCCTTATTGGTGGAGTCTTTCGAGGAGTAGAAAAAAGAGCTTCATAAGCTGTCGGAGGTAGTGGGAGTTCGTATCTCCCCTATTGAATGTTTTGAAATTATTAGTCCTGAATTTTGTAAAAAATTATATTTATTATTTTTTCGTACTATTCGTTACTTAATGGCTTTGTATTTATTATTTTACTTTGGTCTTCACAAAAATGGCTTAGTTTGGTTCATATTATCATAGGCAAAACTCCCATCTACTCTCTTCGATGGGAAAGTTGTCTAAGTGTTATAGCACATACAATCAGTTTGATTTGTGATAGAGCAAGGCTTCAATGGCTCTGCGATAGGAAAATTGTCTAAGTTTTGAAGTACATACAACATTAGTTCAGCTTGCTGTAGAGCAAGGCTTCAATGGTCCTGCGATAGGAGAATCATCTTAAGTGTTGCAGCACATGGAACCTTAGTTCGGCTTGCTGGAGAGCAAGGCTTCAATGGCTCCTGCGATAGGAGAATCATCTAAGTGTTGCAGCACATGGAACCTTAGTTCGGCTTGCTGTAGAGCAAGGCTTCAATGACTCTTGTGATATAAGAGTCGTCTTAGTGTTGCAGCAAATGCAACCTTAGTTCGGCTTACTATAGTGCTTAAGGGTGCAATAATAGTTTTATTATAGTTGTTTGTAGGAAGCTTTACATATTATAGTGGATTCTCTCTTCTATTGATATTAGTTCCTTAGATGCTCGGCGTTCCAGGGATGAAGTAGAGGTCTTCCTTCCATATTTTCTAGTTCATAGGCTCCTCTAGGTAGTAATTTTCCCTCCCAATTCGGTCCCAGGAATCCTAATCAGATCTCCTTTGTGGCGAGGAAAACTTTTCGCAATATGAGGAAACCCATATCGAATTCTCGTTTCCTCACCTTCTAGTTGTAATACTTTGCATTGCGTTGTTTATAATAGCATTTTCGAGTTCAGCCCCATTTCTCACTTCTTTCACCAAGTCTAGCTCTTTGTGAAGGGACTTTTCATTTTCAATTTTGTTGTAGGCTGATGTGTAGAATGATGGAATCCCAATCTCCAATGGGATCATAGCTTCTACCTTGGAGGATATTGAATATGGGGTTTCTCTCGTGCTGCTTCTTGTTGTAGTATGGTAAGACCACATCACGCTAGGGAGTTCTTCAACCCATCCTCCCTTAAGAGTATCAAATTTGGTGTTCAATGTGTGTGTCATGATCTTGTTAATTGCCTTGACCTGGCTGTTTGCTTGTAGTTGGTTTGGTGTAGAAAAATATTTTTTGATACCGAACTCTTCACAAAAGTTTGCAAGACTGGCGTTGTTGAACTATTTCCTATTGTCAATCACGATAGATTGAGGTATTCCAAACTGACATATGATGAATTTTCATATGAAGTCAGTAGTTTTTTGTTTGATAATCTTAAGAAATGGTTCTGCTTTAACCGACTTAGTGAAGTAGTCAACTATAACGATGACGCATTTAGCTCTTCCTCTTCTTATGTGCATAGGACCAATTAGGTTGACCCTCCACTTTGCAAATGGCTAGGGAGTAAATACAAAGTTAAGCTCTTGTGGAGATGCTTTGATGAGGAGAGAGAGACGTTAGCACTTATTGTACTTCCTCACAAATTCAAGTGCATCTCGTCTCATTGTGGACTAGAAGTACCTTTGGCCCGCAATTTTGTGGGCCAAAGACTGTCAACCGGATTATGCCTTCATGTACCTCTTGTAGATCATAAAGTGCTTCTTCATCATTTAATAATGATAAGTGCATTTTTATGCACTTATATGACTCACGAACATGACTAAATCACAAGCAAAATGTTTGAATTGTGGCTTAAATTCGTTTAATTCTTGGATTGTTGGGAATATTGATGGACATGATGGAATTCACTAGAAAAAGGAACGAAAAGGACCAAAACGAATCAAAGTGATAGCTTAGAGACCAAAGCACAAATATCGAAAAGTTGAACTGAATGAGCAATCGAAGTTTTGATCGAGCAAAGTACTAATTGCAGGATTAAATTGGTCGAAGAGACGAGAAGATGGAAGAAACAAGGCCAAAATGGAAAGGAGGAAAATTCAAGGACTAAATTGATCATCTTCAAAAAAGGTATAAGCCATCGTAGGGTCCAATAGGGGATAGAAATATACTTCTATGCTTTGCATGAATTGTTAATCGCTCATAAAACTACATGCATTCTTATTTATATGCATCAGTCATAGAGATATAGGTTGGTGGTATATAAGAATATGTTCGATATTGCTCAAAAGAGTGTGTTGGATATATTTGTGAGCATTGATTTGTTATTAATCCAATCGTGTTGTCAGGTTGTAAAATTAGGGTTTAAGTGATCATTACATAGGAATTAGTGATCCTAGTGCGATTTAATTTCCGTAAGTAAAATCAATTCACGTTCCAATCATCATATTGCATTTAAATTCATTTAGATACATCATATTGTGCCTTTAAAACATTCAGTAGTCATCATAGCAAAACTAGGGTTTTCCATAATTAGAATTTGTGAAATTAGGGTTTTCTTAGGTTAAAGCTTTGATTTTGATAATTTCATTCCGGTTAAGGCTACGATAAATAAAGCTGAACTATTCAATCTCTGTGGGACGATACTCGGAACTCTAAATTCCACTTTATTACTTGTTAACGAGCCGTACACGTACGGTGTATTAAATCGAAAGAAAATATTTCGTGAACAAATTTTTGGTGCCGTTGCCGGGGATTGAATAGTAGTTTAATTTTATTTACATTGGCACTAATTCAAACATAAATTTTTGCAAATTTTTGTTATTTCATTTTATTTTCATTTATTTTGTTAATTGTTTCATTTTAGCATCTAAGCACTACTATTGATTATTTTCGCAAATTTGCATGTTAAGGTCTACTGAAAGAGACTTGATCCTAGCCGATCTAGAAATCGAACAAACTCTACATCGAAGGCAGTGAGAAAATAGAGAGGCACAACAACAAATGGCTAACATACGAAACAATCTAATTTTTCAGGCCAATGAAGAAGGGACAGTAGATGAAGGAAATATACTCGTAGGAGATTTTATGACCCCTCTGATAATTCAAAGCTAGTCAAGCATAGTGTATCCACCGTTTGGGCAGCCTAAGACCAATGTGATTTAACTATTTCAAAACGGTCATCAATTGTATGGAAGGACTGAAGAGAATCCACACACTCATGTTTCTCACTTTTTGGAGATGTACCAATACTTCAGATATCAAAGAATCTCGGATGATGCAATCAGATTAAGGCTGTTCCCACATAGACTTCGCAACAAGGCAATCGAATGGCTAGATTCGCAACCAATCGTAAGCATCACTACATGGAATGATCTAGCTCAGAAATTCTGCACCAAGTTCTTTTTACCCGCCAAGATTGCAAAGCTCAGGCATGACATAACTGTCTTTCATCAGGGCAACTCAGAGAACTTCGAGGAAGCCTGAAATAGGATTAAGAATATGCTGTAGAAGTGTCCACATCATGGGATTAGCAAAGGACTCCAAGTCCAATACTTTTATGCGGGCTTGCTTCCAACCTTTAAAAGCATGGTTGACTCATCATTAAATGGAACACTGTTCACAAAGACAATTGATGAAGCACTGAAGCTTTTTGAGACTATGGCTACTACATCAGCTATGTGGACATCGAAATGAGTAGTTCAAAATAGGTCACCGGGAGTTTATGAAGTGGATGTTTATTCTGCCTTGCCTGCAAAAATTGATTCATTATTTCATTAGTTGGAAAACATGTCACAATTAGCTAACGCAACACAGTTGAAGAAGGCCAATTGTAAGGAATGTGAAGCCGAACATGTAACGGTTGAATGCCCAATCTTGATACAAGGAATAGTTAGGTAGATTTTGCTCGGTGGAGACAATGACAGTAAAATAACACATTTGGGAAAACATACAATTCAAGTTGGAAAAAGCACCGAGATTTTTCTTGGAGCAATCAAAACCAGAATAGGCCATAGGGTCAGTATTAGCAGTTTGATGAAAAGCCTCAACTAGAAGAGATGTTTAGTAAATTTATGGAGAAGACCAACCTGTACATGAGGACAATAATTAATTCATGAGGAAAATTGAAGCCACTCTTCAAGATCAGAATGCAGCCATCAAAAATCTAGAAACTCAAATGGGACAGATGGCAGTTACTTTAACTGGAAGAGCACCAGGTAGTTTGCCAAGTAACATCGAAAGAGCATGCTAAGGCAACCACAACTAGAAGTATAAAGCAGCTACTTGAGATACATGTAAAAAGGCCAGGTGTAAATAGAGAATCAAAATCTCTTGCGATTAAAGAGACCATAGAGCATGACGAGTAGATAAAAGAATCTACCCTAATTGAAGAATTTAGCAAATCATAGGATAAGGTAAACGTTAACCCTCATGAGCCTCCCATACCTTTCCCACAGAGGCTAAAGAAGCAGAAGTTGGAACAACAATACAAGAAATTTCTAGAAGTTTTCAAGAACCTCCATCTCAATATTTCGCTAGTCGATGCACTCTTCCAGATGCTTAGTTATGCAAAGTTCCTAAAGGACATACTATCAAATAAATACAAACTAGGGGATCACAAGACAGTGATCCTAACAAAGGAGTGCAGGGCAAGAATTCAAAAAAAGCTCCCACGGAAATTGAAAGATCCAGGAAGTTTTGTTGTTCCTTGCACGATTGGTGAAGTTTATTTTGATAAAGCTTTATGTGATCTTGGTGCAAGTATTAATTTAATGCCTCTATGTGTTTTCAGGAAACTCGGCTTGGGAGAGGTTAAGGCGACTATAGTGACACTGCAACAAGCTAATTGGTCATTACCACATCCTAGGGGTATAATAGAGGACGTGCCTGTCAAAATTGAAAAATTCATATTCTCCATGGATTTCCTAATCTCAGATACAGAAGTATCGGACATCCCATTTATACTTGGTAGACTATTCTTGGCAACAGGGAGAGCTTTGATCGACATTCAGAATGGGCAGTTGATTTTGAGACTAATAGAAGAGCAGATCTCGTTTAATGTCTTCAAGGCAATGAAACTACCTACAGAGTTAGACAGCTGATTCCAAATCGATGTGATTGATAAGGTAGTTCAAGACTCATTTTTGCTCCACAATCTATCAGATGCCTATGAAGCTTGCATTGCACACTCTCAGTCAACGCAGTCCGATTTAGTGGAAATTGAAACATGTGCAAGGTTTTTGGATACTAACGCACCGTACACATGCCGAAGGCATTTTGAGGAGCTTAAGGCAGGACCCACAAAACCACTACCATCCATTTAGCAGCCACCGAAATTAGAACTCAAGCAGCTACCACCCCACCTCAGATATGCTTACTTGGGGGAGTCTTATACACTCATGGTCATCATCTCAAACATAGTCAGTGAAGTGGAAGAAGAGAAACTGCTTTGGGTGCTAAGGGAAAATAAAATAACAATTGGATGAACTATAACAGATATAAAAGGGATCAGCACTTCACTTTGCACGCAAAAGATTCTTATGGAAGAAAATTTTCGACCAACAATAGAGAGTCAAAGGATGTTGAACCCAAATATGAAGGAAGTGGTCAGAGCAGAGATACCCAAACTTCTAGATGCTGGAATTATATATTTGATATTGGACAGTGTATGGACTAGCCTAGTTCAAGTGGTACCGAATAAAGGTGGAATCATATTAGTGCCAAATGAGAAGAATGAGCTGATACCGACCAGAACAGTGACAGGATGGAGTGTTTGCATCGATTATCACAAACTCAACGCAGCTACAAGAAAAGATCACTTTCCCTTCCTTTTATTGATCAAATGTTGGAGAGATTGGCAGACACTCACATTACTATTTTCTTGATGGGTATTTAGGGTAAAATCAGATACCAGTGTCACAAGATGATCAGGAGAAAACAACCTTCACTTGTCGCTATGGTACTTTTGCTTATCGCAGGATGCCTTTTGGCCCTTGCAACATCCCTGCCACATTTCAACAATGTAGATGGCTATTTTCTCAGACATGGTAGAGAAGTTTATAGAAATATTCATGGATGATTTCTCGATCTTTGGGTCTTCATTTGACGAGTGCTTGGAACACTTGAATCTAGTATTACAAAGATACACGGAAACTAATTTAGTATTAAACTGGAAAAAATGCCACTTCATGGTGCTAGAAGGGATTGTACTTGGGCATCGGGACTTAACAAA